TCGAGATGGCGTTAATACACGCGCGAACTTGTCGGCACGCGTACCCGAGATGCGAGCCAATATGGCTGCCGAAAACCGTCGCACTGGCGCGAACGATGAAAAATGGCGAAGTCCGTTGACCGGCCACGTGGTCGGCGTGAACTATGCCGATGAGCGAGCGCTGACTGTGGCGATCACTCCCGATGCGATTACGAGCCCGAAGGCGACGAACACGGACACTGCTATGTGAACGTGGTGATGAGCCCGAAGGCGACAAACGCGCGGCGATCACTCGCGAACGCGGGAACAAGCCCGAAGGCGACTAACGCGCGGCGATCACTCGCGAACGCGGGAACAAGCCCGACGGCGACGAACACGATCACCGTTATGTGAACGTGGTGATGAGCCCGAAGGCGACAAACGCGCGGCGATCACTCGCGAACGCGAGAACAAGCCCGAAGGCAACAAACACGATCACTGTTGTGTGAACGTGGTGATGAGCCCGAAGGCGACAAACGCGCGGCGATCACTCGCGAACGCGGAAACAAGCCCGAAGGCGACGAATACGGTCACTGTTATGTGAACGTGGTGAGAAGCGCGCACATTGCGCGTTATCAACCTGTGCACGAGTGTCGGGATTATATATTATAGATAAGGGTTTCTTTGCTTTTCCCTTAAATGAAGATTAATTTAAAGCATAAAACCAAAGCATTAAAATAAATCATATTATATAACAATAAAAGCGCGAAATAGGGTGGGTGGCACCATCTAGCGTGTTTGGAAAAAACGTTCGGCGACGTAGTACTGGCGGCGGACGTTACAAGAAGCTAATAAACAAAAATTGTCGGAAATTGAATCTGCTAGCGAAGAAGAAGAGAAAACTACAGCTAAGTCTAAAACTTCAACGAATCATCAAGAATCTCTCCGTCGAAGCACGCGCGAGAAGAAGCCTCCAGCCTATCTTAATGATTATCGTGTACTGGCTTTACTTGCTGAAAGCTATGTCGAAGACGTACCAAGTTGCCGAAATCAACTCTCATACTGATAAAGAGGAATGGAAAAAGGCTATTAATGAGGAACTTAAAGCGATTCAAGCAAACCAGACTTGGAGTTTAGTGCAACTACCCGTCAGGAGGAAAGTAATTGATAATAAGTGGATCTTCAAGATCAAACGTGATGAACATGGTAACATCCAACGGTACAAAGCGCGTCTTGTGGCTAAAGGTTGTCTACAGAAAAAGGGGTTCGACTATGACGAGACGTATGCCCCGGTAGCAAGACTTACAACAGTACGAATTATACTGTCCATTATTGTAAATAAAAATCTTTATGCGGATCAACTAGATGTCAAAAATGCGTTTTTGCATGGAAAGCTCACGTACGACATTTACATGAAACAACCAGAGGGCTGCGAAGATGGAACTTCAAGAGTATGCAAG